GCCACAGTAAAACACGGGTTAAGAGATTCAGTGAAATTGATCGAAATTACAGTGGGGGGTCTTCAAGCCTTCACTGGGCTAGCATCCTTGACGTACGTCAGGAAATGTACAATTGTCAAAGTATGTTAAGTAGAAAAACAACGTTAATGCACAGTCTGACAAGGACAAGAGCCCCCAGGCAGATTGGATCTTAAAATACGCACTTGATTTTAAACCGTATTTGAACTTAGCTACGCTTGAATGCCACGGTCTAGAATGACTCGAATGTACTATCGTGTGGAATCACTTTAAATCTTTTGGAAATTTATTTTATATATAAATATGCTTCTTTAAAAAAAACCAAACAATATCGTGTCAATTTAAGATAATAACGTCAGTTTTAGCGTCAAGCCTGAGTAACGCGCTTAAATACGACTTAATTACAACAATCTATCCCAACAATGAGCAATTTATGAGGTGACGCTACAGTATCACAAGGTGGGGTTTCTCATACGATACACATATGGATTCGAACAATAGTATACATTAACCAGAGGGCTATCTGTCCACCATCGTCTTTATACAAGTACAGAGCTTCTTGTCTCACGCTGATGGAGGACCAGTACCCCACTGTGACTTGCGTATGAGTTGCTGCAAGTGGAACAAAGCGATTTCCACTCTTACCCGTGACGTAGTCCTACACCATGACCGTGGAATATATTTATTTTATGAAAAAATAATAATCTAGAAATGCATACAAAAGCAAGTCTAGCCAGCTCAAGCTAGCTCTATTCCACAAATCAGCATAGGGAATTTTTTTTAATTTTTAGAGTCAAGAAGGATATTGTGTAATATACGATTTCAGAGACTAAATGTTAGTCTACTCGTGACGGTACTTTGCTTGTTATATAACAGGAATTACGGGTCATTTCAAAGCAAAAGCAAATCTCGTCAGATGCTCCAAACTCACGCGAGAACGGCGACACAACGCAAAACTGGGCTCGTATATTTCCGCGTGTTTTGAAGGTCACTGTTGGAGGTGTTTGGGAGCTGTTGGCCACCCCTAGTGACACGGCGGTTTCATTATCACGTCAAGAGGCCAAAGTGTTAAGTGGTCACGATTCCACTTATATTGGTCAACACACTGGACAACCCTGCTTTAATATTTCCGAGTGATTTAAGACCCCCGCATAGAAAGAATGGTGACCTTTCGAGGAAAACGTGATTGGTACCACGAAACTAACAAAATATTCAAACAGTTTCTATATTATATTACACGCATAAGTGAAGGTCACGACTAGGGTAAATGCTATGTTGATCGGGTCTCCAAGTGTGTAGGCTTGAAGCACCTGGGTTACTTTGGCGACATAGGAAATACATGTTCCTACCCGAGGGATCCGTTTGAAAGAGTTAAAGAGTTTAGTTAAAGCCGATTTGAACAATATTTCAGTTATATCACGGCATGTCAGCTTAATATTGGAGGAAAGCTCGAAGTGATTCAGATCTCAGACGTTTAACACGAGCACGTGTGGGGTGTTGACAAACCTAAAACATAATCGGGGCGAACCGGGATTCGAACCCACGATTCCAGGTGATGCCGTGCCCAAGGGACGCAACTCTACACAGCGAATTGCAGCGCCTTAGACGACTGGGCCACCCGTGCCCCCTTTTTAATGTTGGAGGAGAGCCCAAGGGGGTATACGATGCTAACTACCAAAGGGAAACCAAAACCAAAAGGCCGACTGTTTATTGGGGAAAGTATTTTTTTTTATACAAGGAGGAGCTAAATTATTATTTGTTTTATTACGCAAGACATTTATTTCAAGATTCACAACATAACCATTGTACGAAATTGTATGTTTTGTAAAATTTTCTGGAACAATGATGTTGTTTTAAACATTGTCAAAATGTCGACCCGTAATATAATTGTAGCAACTATGAAACAGATAACTTTTCACTGGTACATATCATTAGGTTTGTCTAAATTGTCGAAAGAGGAATGAACGAGAGGTTTCTAAAAGAATTTTATAGGAATTGAGTATATTAGATAACAAATGACCGTCATAGATTATTTTGACATGAAAACAAAAACATATAAAAGTATACTAGCATTCTCCGAAAGAAGATTTGTTAAATAAAAACAAGAAACAGGGTTTAGTTGACAGTTCAAATTTCCTAAACTGTACCTTGTGTCACGTTGGCGGGTTGCCAAGACGAACTACGTCCACAAGCACTCAACACAGGTGTTCGTAGTGCAACATTTCTAGGTGCCATTGATACAACATGCCCATGGATCATAATACAACATGCCCTGGTATCATTATACAACATGCCCATGGATCATTATACAACAGGCCCATGTATCATTATACAACATGCCCATGTATCATTATACAACATGCCCATGTATCATTATACAACATGCCCATGTATCATTATACAACATGCCCATGTATCATTATACAACATGCCTATGTACCATTATACAACAGGCCCATGTATCATTATACAACATGCCCATGTATCATTATACAACATGCCCATGTATCATTATACAACATGCCTATGTACCATTATACAACAGGCCCATGTATCATTATACAACATGCCCATGTATCATTATACAAAATACACAGGTATCATCATACAACATGCCCACGTATCATTATACAACATGCCCATGTATCCATTATACAACATGCCCAGGTACCCATCATACAACATGCCCATGTATCATCATACAACAGGCCAATGTACCCATAATACAACATGCACAGGTATCATCATACAACATGCCCAGGTCACCATTATACAACATGCCCATGTACCTATTATACAACATGCCCAGGTACCCATTATACAACATGCCCATGTATTATTATACAACATGCCCAGGTCACCATTATACAACATGCCCATGTATCATTATACAACATGCCCATGTATCATTATACAACAGGCCCATGTATTATTATACAACATGCCCAGGTACCCATTATACAACATGCCCATGTATTATTATACAACATGCCCAGGTCACCATTATACAACATGCCCATGTATCATTATACAACAGGCCCATGTATTATTATACAACATGCCCAGGTACCCATTATACAGCATGCCTATGTATCATTATATAACATGCCCATGTATCATTATACAACATGCCCATGTATCATTATACAACATGCCCATGTATCATTATACAACATGCCCATGTATCATTATACAACATGTCCATGTATCATTATACAACATGCCCATGTATCATTATACAACATGCCCAGGTACCCATTATACAACATGCCCAGGTACCCATTATACAACATGCCCAGGTACCCACTATACAACATGCCCAGGTACCCATTATACAACATGCCCATGTATCATTATACAACATGCCCATGTATCATTGTACACCATGCCCATGTATCATTATACAACATGCCCAGGTACCCATTATACAACATGCCCATGTATCATTATACAACATGCCCAGGTACCCATTATACAGCATGCCTATGTATCATTATACAACATGCCCATGTATCATTATACAACATGCCCATGTATCATTATACAACATGCCCATGTATCATTATACAACATGCCCAGGTACCCATTATACAACATGCCCAGGTACCCATTATACAGCATGCCCATGTATCATTATACAACATGCCCATGTATCATTATACAACATGCCCATGTATCATTACACAACATGCCCAGGTACCCATTATACAACATGCCCATGTATCATTATACAACATGCCCATGTATCATTACACAACATGCCCAGGTACCCATTATACAACATGTCCATGTACTCACAATACAACATGTCCATGTATCATTCTACAACATGTCCATGTATCATTATACAACATGCCCATGTATCATTATACAACATGCCCAGGTACCCATTATACAACATGCCCATGTATCATTATACAACATGCCCATGTATCATTATACAACATGCCCATGTACCCATTATACAACATGCCCATGTATCATTATACAACATGCCCATGTACTCACAATACAACATGTCCATGTATCATTATACAACATGTCCGCGTTAACCTTGAACGACGCCGATCTAGGATTGTGTCAAAGAAAGATATAATATTCATGTCAACATTTTCAGTTCTCGGCCCAATTATACCTAATTATGTGCCCGGGTTCATTGTTTGTTTGTTTGTTTGTTGTTTAACGCCACACTCAGCAATATTCCAGCGATATGACGGCGATCTGTAAAGAATCGAGTCATGAGTATCGATCCACGCAATTGGGATTCAATGACATGCACCAACCAAGTCAGCGAGCCTGACCGCCCGATCCCGTTAGTCGCCTTTACCGGCAAGCATGGGTTGCTGAAGACCTATTCTAACCCAGATGTAGGTCATCGTATCCCAATTGCGTAGATCGATGCTAATGATGCCAATCACTGGATTGTCAGATCCATACTCGATTATTTACAGACCGCCGTCATATAGCTGGAGTGTGGAGTTAAACAATAAAAAAAAAAAACAGTAATGATGTATAAATCCTTTGGTTTAGATAACATGTATTAATGTATGATAAAACAAAAAGGGCTGATTGTCACAATTAAACAGCTGACAATGACGTCTTCCTGCGCTAACATGATAGGAACAACCTTAGCGCTACGACTGTCATAAGTCTGTGTTAAGGAATGTTACGATCACCTTAGCACTAAGATCGTTTTGTACAACGGATCCCTGGTGGAGGGCTTGGAATCTCGTGGTTCATGCAGGCGCCCTCTGGCGGCGCGTTGGCCTCGGGGCTTGCCAAGAAAGTATAAAAGATTTGTTACGGAATACTCAGGTGTGGCTTGGCGTTCCCGTCATCAAATTTCCGGCAGGTGTGCTCAGGCTATTTTGTGCCATCTCGATTAGAAGGTTTCGGTTTCAGGTTGAGAATTTGTTTGGTGAGGAAATGAACAAAATACTTTATCCAGGATATATTTCTCTTGTTTCTTTTCTCTTGTTTAGTCAATACCTCGTTCAGGTGAAAGAAATCGATGAAGAGGATCTAACTTCGTCGCTCGGCTGGAGTGGGTGTAAAAAGAAACCAACTGAAGCCAAGCCTCAATGGCTGGCGGGGGTACGTGTAGAAGGTAAACACTTGGGACCAAGCCTCAATGGCTGTCTGGTGTACGTGTAGAAAGTTTACACTTGGGACAAAGCCTCAATGGCTGTCTGGTGTGCGTGTAGAAAGTTTACACTTGGGACAAAACCTCAATGGCTGTCGGGTGTACGTGTAGAAAGTTTACACTTGGGACAAAGCCTCAATGGCTGCCTGGTGTACGTGTAGAAAGTTTACACTTTGGACCAAGCCTCAATGGCTGTCTGGTGTACGTGTAGAAAGTAACCACTTGGGACCAAGCCTCAGTGGCTGTCTGATGTACGTTTAGAAAGTAACCACTTGTGACCAAGCCTCAGTGGCTGTCTGGTGTACGTGTAGAAAGTTTACACTTGGGACAAAGCCTCAATGGCTGTCTGGTGTGCGTGTAGAAAGTTTACACTTGGGACAAAACCTCAATGGCTGTCGGGTGTACGTGTAGAAAGTTTACACTTGGGACAAAGCCTCAATGGCTGCCTGGTGTACGTGTAGAAAGTTTACACTTTGGACCAAGCCTCAGTGGCTGTCTGGTGTACGTGTAGAAAGTAACCATTTGGGACCAAGCCTCAATGGCTGTCTGGTGTACGTGTAGAAAGTAACCACTTGGGACCAAGCCTCAGTGGCTGTCTGGTGTACGTGTAGAAAGTAACCACTTGTGACCAAGCCTCAGTGGCTGTCTGGTGTACGTGTAGAAAGTAACCATTTGGGACCAAGCCTCAATGGCTGTCTGGTGTACGTGTAGAAAGTAACCACTTGGGAACAAGCCTCAGTGGCTGTCTGGTGTGCGTGTAGAAAGTAACCACTTGGGACCAAGCCTCAATGGCTGTCTGGTGTACGTGTAGAAAGTAACCACTTGTAACCAAGCCTCAGTGGCTGTCTGGTGTATGTGTAGAAAGTAACCACTTGGGACCAAGCCTCAGTGGCTGTCTGGTGTACGTGTAGAAAGTAACCACTTGGGACCAAGCCTCAATGGCTGTCTGGTGTAGGTGTAGAAAGTAACCACTTGGGACCAAGCCTCAATGGCTGTCTGGTGTACGTGTAGAAGGTTTACACTTGGGACCAAGCCTCAATGGCTGGCTGGTGTACGTGTAGAAAGTTTACACTTGGGACAAAACCTCAATGGCTGTCGGGTGTACGTGTAGAAAGTAACCACTTGGGACCAAGACTCAATGGCTTTCTGGTGTACGCGTAGAAAGTAACCACTTAGGACCAAACCTCAATGGTTAGCTGGGGTACGTTTAGTAACTAACAAATTGGGACCAATGGGCGTAGATACGTGTTGAAAGAAACAATTGGGACAAAACCTCAATGGCTTGGTGCGGTGCGTGCAACTAACTTAAATCGATTAAAAAGGAATCGGGTAAACAATTGATAAAAAACAAAACTTTATCCATGTACAGTTTGGCCTTGCAAACTAACTTACATCCTGGGCCGAGGTTCGTAAATATAATCTATCTGGGTGAACCCAACAATATAAGAAGGATATAGGCCGACATGAACGTCTACCTGCATGGACACCAGTCACACCCAGTGTTGTATGTAACACGACATTCCTACAGCTCCACACAAAGCAATTATTTCTTCTGGACCTCCGTTTAAGTACGTTTACCTATGTGGGCTTGTCATGAGAGGTAAACCTTTTGACTGCTGTGGGCGACGTGCGTTGTTACGTTTGCTTTTGAACAAAAGGTAAAACGCTTCACGCCCTTGGAGGTACAGGCTATTTATGTTACTAAATGCATTTTATTGTATCCATCTGCAAAGAAAGGATAAGAGAAAAATTAACTGTTTACATCACAACTGTAGGTGAGGTGAGGTGAAATAGGGTTTAACGTCGCGTTCAAGATTATTGCACTTATATAGCGTCGTGCATGTACGTGTGTGTGTTTATGTGGCTGCTTGTACTAGTCCGGACTGATGCCGATTTATAGTGCTAGCTCACTGAGATACCATGCCGCAGTTTAACATGAATACCCCACTCAGACACAGTATACTGACTCCGAGCCGACAAGTCCTCGTTTTAGCCCCTTAATGCCGAGCGCCAGACAGGGTAACAACAAGTACCATCTTTTAACGTCTTTTGGTATGACGCGGCCGGGGATCGAACCCCGGACCTTCCGCTCCCGGGGCGGACGTTCTACCACTAGACCACGGAGGCGGACTCACAACTGTATATTTAGTGGGAGGAAGTGACGTCATCTACTGTATATTTGGTGGAAGGAAGTGACGTCATCTTGTTTGGTCTCCATTTTTTTCGGATATATATTCCAGGTAGGAGTCAGGTGGACATTTGACGTAAGTGGGCAACTTTCTTGGGTGGGGGGGGGGGGGGGGAAGGAGGAAGATCTGCATCTGTGTTTGTGTAGCGTCCCAGAGGGCCGTGAAATTCTGCGACATGGCCAATGCGGCATAAAACACCACCGTTTACTTGCCACCAAGCTCGCTTGATCGGCAACTGTTCATCAAGTTGATTTTTCATGACTTTCTTATTGAAATAAGTGATCCTGTAATAGTATATATATATATATATATATATTATATCTCGTAAGACTTAATATAAATGGGATATATAGTTTAGTAAATGATTGAAATTTAAACAGTCAATAATCACAAACAGCCATGCATTGTTTGTTACCTATTAACTAAATCCCCATTTACTATTCTCACGCTTACCCCTTGGTATTATCCTCAGGGTCAGGCCACCCGGTAGACGGTAGACGACAACTCACAGTGATGGTTACGACAACCGTAAACTGAATCTATATCCGAAAATGTCAAGGTCGTATATTGTCGCAAGGACATGGAAAACAAGTTTTTTAAACTTCAAACATTCCTCTGTGTTCTCGCGGCTATTAAATCAGTGAAGTAGAAGACTCTCACCATGGACATGAGCTGGCGTTCTCTATGACCATAAATTATGCATAAAAAATAACCATTTTAGCATGCATGTTGTTTAGCATTACCGCCATTAATCAAACCTGTCAGAGTATCATGACATTGTCTACAAGGCATGCACGTTGAAACTGGTGATTAAAGTTACCCTTTTACACAATGCAGAATCTACGCACGTGAAACTGTAGGTGCCCCCTGGCTTATATTTTTTTGTGAAAGACGAGACATGATATTTTGTCTTTCATTGCTTCAAAACACATTTGTTTTTTTGTGAACGGAAAAACAGATGGTTGGCCCCCGGAATCGTTGACCGTACGTTCGGCACCCAGCTTTGCTCTGATTGAAACCGACCATATGAAAAGACATCTTCCCGAGGCAAGTGAGTTAACTGACTTTGAAGGTCCAGTTTCAACCCTTGCTGAAATAGGCTCGAATAATGGAGTTATATTATGGCTGGACTAGTGAGTCTATGCACAGTCCAATCAAAATCGCGTAACGAAATCGAAATCCGGTTGGTAAACTGCCGTGCAGATTTCGGTCATTTGCAAGATTTGCAAAGCATGTGCACTGCCAACTAGGCGTCAACAGATATTTTCCAAATCTTTTCATGTTTTTAATCAAGGTGCTCACGTGATTTGATGCACTCTGCGATGTACGACCCATTTTATCACAATATAGATATTGTTTATTGATCAGGTCGTCCTGACTGGGCGCCACCATTTTGTTTGAAGCAAATGTAAGCGAAACAAGAGGCTGAATCTGATTGGTCAAAAGTAGAGGCATAGAAGGGACACAACTCGTAATAACCACTGGTGGCGCTACGATCGAGCCAAGAAATAAGTCCAGCCTTGTTCGGCAAGGGTACAAACTGGACTTGCCTCGGGAAGATGATGTAAAGATATCTAATATCCATACAAAATCGTATGATCCTTTGTGTGTTAGCACCATACATACCCGTGCTCGTGGGTTTCACCAAAATTGTTCATTGACGAACTACGTCACTTGGGCTCTCCCGATCCATTAAGCTGACACGCCGTGATGCAGCTGCAAACGTGTTCAATGCGGCGTTAACACCAACTCACTCAGTCACTATGGACGAAGTGAGGTGAGGTGAAATTGGGTTTAACGTCGCGTCCAAGATTATTGCACTTATATAGCGACGTGCATGCACGTGCGTGTGTGTGGCTGCTTGTACTAGTCCGGACTGATGCCGATTTATAGTGCTAGCTCACTGAGATACCATGCCGCAGTTTAACATGAATACCCCACTCAGACACAGTATACTGATTCCGAGCCGACCAGTCCTTGTTTTAGCCCCTTAATGTCGAGCGCCAGACAGGGTAACAACAAGTATCATCTTTTAACGTCTTTTGGTATGACGCGGCCGGGGATCGAACCCCGGACATTCCGCTCTCCGGGCGGACGCTCTACCACTAGACCACGGAGGCGGCACCATTATGGATGAATACATATTACAAGACAAATATAGATCCTGTAACTAGTTTGGCAAAACATAATATAATATCCTAATAATCATCCTATATTTGTCGAATTTCATCGCATTCATTCATCATATCGCCATGGAAATTTCAATTCAAAATCAAAGGGACATATTGAATGCCATCTACACGCCAAGGGACTAAATCATTTTCGCTATTGAAGCCGCTGAAACGTCGTCAACACCTACCTGAGATTGAAACAGCATTATTGTTAATATATTCTCCAACAATAGAAGCTAGAATCGTTGATTAGAGAGGAAGTGGGTGTAAACCATGCTCTTTGTAAAATATCATTTCGCCTATTGATATTTTGGTTCCGCATCCTTGACCTTCACGCGCAGCCTCGTTTTCGTTCAATATATAAGCCACGGACTAAGCGGAATTAGATTCATCAGCGAGGCAAATAACGAGGTATCACATCACACAATAGGTAACTCTCGCCTCTCTCCTCGTGTTTTCTCGCTGCTACCGAGAGTGATAATGAAAGCAAGGGAATGATATAATAGACCCACTGTGTGTTCGCGAGCTGATAAATAGGGATATACCGCCCGGTACTTCATTAACGGGTTGCCTTGATAATCCGATATATAATTACCCTGGGTCG